CTGTCAGTGACCTCATTTATGGGCTTAACCCCATCTCCCTCGATGAATCCAGAACCACACTCCTGGATAATCCCTTAGTCAAAGGGTCAGCAAGATTTTTCTCAGACTTTACAAAGTCCAAGATCACAACTTTGCCTAATAGGCGTTGTACAGACTTATATCTTATTTGAATATGTCTGTTATGTTTTTTATTTACATGTACTTGCTTTAGAAGCTCTATGGTAGATCTAGAATCAGAGTGAATGGAAATAGGAGGAGAGGGTTTAGGGACCAAAGGAAGTTCAGATAGAAGATCTTTTAACCATTCGGCTTCTGTGCAAGTAGTATCAAGAGCAATTAGCTCAGATTCCATGGTGCTCCTGGCAATTATTGTTTGCTTACATGATTTCCAGGATACAGCAGCACCACCAAAAAGAAATACATATCCAGATGTAGACTTTACACTGTTGGAATCCGTGACCCAATTGGCGTCACTATACCCTTCTATAGCATCAGGGTAACCAGTGTAAGTCAAGCAATTTTTAGATATTTGAATACTCTTTCTAAGGCAGACCAATGATCTTTGCTAGGGTTGCTAGTATACCGACTCAGTCTCCCTACAGCATAAGCTATATCAGGTCTGGTTCGGTTGGATATGTAAAGAAGAGATCCAATCATCTGAGAATATTTTAGTTGGGAGACAGGTTCACCTTCATTCTTCTTCAAGGGTATAGAAGAATCATAAGGTGTGGAAACAGGTTTAGAGTTATGAAAGTTGAATTTGATTAGCATTTTATCAATGCTATGGGAAAGACTCAAAGATATTCCTCTAGTGTCTCTAGAGATTTTCATTCCAAGTATCATGTCTGCAAGACCTAAGTCTTTCATATCAAAGTTTTTGGAAAGATAATCCTTAACCTTTGAAATTAATTCAAGTGTTGTTCCAAAGATAAGGATATCATCAACATAGAGACAGAGAATGACATAGTCATTGTTTATTACTTTAGAATAGACACATTTATCGTGTTCATTCACAGTGAAGCCATATTGTGCAATGGCGTTGTAGGCTGTCTAAAAATCATAATAGATAGCTGATCCCCATCAAACACCGATGATGGAAGTTACAATCTGACGACTTCCAGAAGGCTACAATTTGAAGACTTTCACGTAGATCGCTGAAGGTTACAATCTGACGACCTTCACGACAACCGATGAGAGCTCTAGTTTAACAGCCTTCACAATCAACATCGAGAGTTACAATCTGACGACTCTTGCATATCAAAGAGCTAAAGTAAAGATTACAAAATGACGATCTTTGCAAAACTTCGATAGAAAGAGACTACAAATTGACGGTCTCTTCAAATCAAGACGTGGAAGTCCTCCCCGCGTACCAGCATCAAGATGCGCCATGTTCATGGCCACGAACGCAGCTCAAACGTAGCTCCAATCGCTGTCCAACGCAGCTCCAATCGCTGTCCAACGCAGCTCCAATCGCTGCCCAACGCAGCTCTATACCGCTACCAGACGCAGCTCCAATCGCTGCCCAACGCAGCTCCAATCGATGCCCAACGCGGCTCTATACCGCTGCCAGACGCAGCTTTAATCACCGCCAGACGCAGTTCCATAACACTGCGAAACGCACCTTCAAACATCAAAGAACGCAGCTCCATATCGTTGCAGAACGCAGCTTCCAAATTGCTGTAAATGCAGATCAGATCCGTTGCCAAACGCAGCTCTTAAATCACTACAAATGAGCTTCCAAACGCTGCGTCCGAGCTTCCAGATGCTGCGTTCAAGCTTTTAGGCATTACGT